ATCGTTCGACGTTGCCAGTCATCACCACCTTCAATCGCGTCGTCCCAGGCTGGAGACTCGCGAGCACCGACGACTTGCAGACCTCCATTACTACCATCGTCAGACCACCGTTCTTAGCCGTCGGGTCCCGTCGAGTCCCGTTTGAGTGTCAAGCATAGCCGTTGAGTCCCGTCATGTTCCGTCGGAGTGCCGATCAAGGCCGACGAGTCCCCGCGTATATTTTTCCCTTTCGCTGAGATCAGTTGCAGAGCCACCGTCCGTGAACCACTGCTTACCTTTTTCTGGCGTCCCTCCGCCACCACGAGAATCGCCGACAGCAACCCTCAGTCGATGGTCCTATTGTTCCTCCGGCGAGAAAACCTCTATCGCTCCCCTGCTATGCGTGAGCTTTCAACCCCGGTTCAGCCTCTTCTCTACCGTCTCGTGTATCCTTTGTGAGAATGGTACATTACGACTTGATACCCTCTCGTTTATTTTGTGTTAGGAGTGTTATGAAAGATGCCTTGGTATGAATTTCATGTTAGGGCATTTAAATTATATGTTTTAGTGGGGATCTTGGTTGGTTATTGAGAGATCATCTAAGATCATGTTAATTTTGTGTTAGGGATGTGGTTTTTGGAACACGTGTGAGCCCTTGGCCTTATGGCGAAGGCCTTGGACGAGTTGGTCGAGTTTCGAGTCATTTATGATTTTATCGAACAAGTATAGTTGTTGAAATTTGATAAGTTCACTAAAAATGTTATACTGATATGATTTCTATGATATTTGTACTGTATCTACCTCTCGTCATTATGTAGCTCGTATAAAAATTTCAGATTTTTCGGAGGTCTGTAGCTATTTTTATAAATTATAGTGACTTCTGGTCAGATTCATGTTTAATTCATAATAAATTGTGTAGTGCTCTAAAATTCATGAAATTGTAATATGTGGCCAATCTATCTAATTCGGTTGCTGAGTAATATTTATAGAATATTTGGATTGATATTGGTAGGGTAAATAATTTGTTTACTTTTTCTGTTGAATAGTGTTTTATTTTTGTTAAATTGGTTAGTTGCAGGAAAATTATGATTTTTGGCTGAGATGTTTTTCTTATTTGTCTAGCATGCCGTAAAACTATTGGAATTTTTAGAGTTGGAATTGGTTCGGTTTTTATTTAAATTCGATAAATTGCTGAAATTTGTATGAATTTTCATAATTTGTTTATTTGGAGTAAATTTGTAATATCCCGATATTTTATCGGTATAAATTATGTTTAGTTCCGATATAATAACGTTATCGTTTATTATTTTCGGAATTAAGTATGTTCAGTTGAGATTACCGAAATTTATTTTCGGCGTACCGATTACGTTCGAAATAATTTTGGTAATTAAGTATTATGTTTAATTGAATAATTAAACATGTTTAGTGATTAATTAAGCCAATTAATCACATTTCAAGCCCTAATAGCCGTGACATTAGCGAAAATTTCCCAACTTGTAATAAAAGGCCGTGTAGTTTCCTTATGATCAAGTAAGCAAATTTTCTCCTCATTTTCCCAAGGTCACGTGGCAAGATTTGGGAGAGCTTAGTCATCTTTAAGCCATCCTAAAAGCTAGCAAGTGGCAAGCCAAAAATTGACCACATCATGCCTCCATCACCCCATCATCCCCACACGGCCGACTATATAAGGGAGATTACTTAGGGTGTGATTGTTTATCAATCCACTTCAAAAAAAACCAATCAAAACTCAAATTTAACTCAACTTTAACTCAACCCACTATCTCCAATATTATCAATATAATTAAATAATAACAATCAATCATCCAACCAATCATTCTTATACATCACATCAACTTTAATTCACTATTCATCTACTCATATAATTTTAACTAACTATCACCTCCAATCATTTTTCTCTTACTTTTACATCATATCAATTTTAATTATTATATTTTAATTATTATTTAAATATATCTACTAACAACTAATCATACCAACTTTTTTTTTAAATAACTATGGTTAAAAAAAACTAGTTAAAAATTATATGAATTCATAAACAATCACCCCCTTAGCCATCATACTCAGCATATAGTAACCTCTTTCAGTAGCCATAAAGTTAATCAATTTCCCTAAAATTTTCCAACAAACACGCACGGCAAGGGTTAAGCATCGCACGGTAAACGCAAGAGCCAAGTGATCACGCCATATTTTCTGATTTCAGTCGACCGAACAGAGAGGTAATTCTCTCCTCAGCTTATATTCATATTGATTAAGTCGTGTTAGGGTTAAACGTTCAGATCATATTTGAGATTTTCAAGCAAAACCGTGCCTAAGTCCTAACATGTTTAAGTAAGATCACGACCGAGTTATTTTCGATTTCTTCCGGCAACTCTCGAACCATTATCGTTTAAATGTTCAGTTAGCTTAATTCATGTTCAGTAAAGTTCAGATTGTCGAGGCAAAGTGAAGTTTTGTTGATAAAATGGCCCAAGCCGACGCTAACGCCTATCGCGCGTGGCCTCGGGTGGCCTCGGGCCGTGTCATGTTGCCTTCAGTAATAACCATATTTGTTCATGTGGTTATGTCTCAAATTGCCTCATATTAATATTCATGTCAAGTGGTTCTGAAGTTTCCGAAGAAAAAGGTATTTTGGCCGGGAGACGGCGTATAGCCGTCGGCGGCGCACGGCGCGCCCGCCACGGTCTTTTCATGTTCAGCGTGCAATAGTTCGTTTTCAAGTCATGGTTGATAACTGTATTCATGATAAGTCAGGTTATGTTCAGGTTGGTTGAAATATTGTTAAGTTGGTCGAGGACTTGGCCAAAGGCCGTAGGCCTCGCACGTAGCGAGCACGCCACGGCCGTGTGTTAAGTTCAAGCGAGCAAGTTCAGTCATTTCTTGTAAAATTCAGTATAATGTTCATGTTAAGTCATAAAAGGTTAAGTAAGGTCAGTTCGGTCGGAGAATGTTGCCGGACGGCCGGCAAGAGCCGGCCGTGGTCGCGCTGCCGCACATAACGGCAGCAGC